TTCCCGGGCGCTTCCTAAACATCGTGTTCTTTATCCTTCACCGCTACTCCGTGAGCTGGCCACGGCGAACCCCAGGATGCAGGCTCAGAGAGGCTAACCTAACACTCAGGAACCTCCCATTCCACGGGGGGGCCCTCCCTACCTCACAGGACCCCGAAGGGGGACTGTGGAGAGACGAACGCTGCTTGACAGTGACCGTTGACATCTCCTTAAACCCCAAACATGCCCTGCCTACTGGTGGCCAGCAGGTGGCAGCACCGGGAGCGGATGCGCGAAGCTCCAGGGCGAAGCCTGCAGATACCGACCTGGGACTGGAGCGTCTCCATCTCCGTGAGCCTGTTCTCAGCAGCCAGCTGCTTCTCACGGACCTTCACCAGCTCCTCCTCCTTGGCCATCATCTCCTCCTCCTGCCGGCTCACCTGCAGCAGCGGCTTGACCTAGAAGGGGAGACGGGGGCACGGCCAAAACATGAGGCCTTCCCCTCACCTGCGCCCACGCAAGCTGGCGAGACTGACGGGAAGGAGGTGCAAACACACACGAGCTTTCTGGGGATCAACTCGGTGCTGTGTGCCACAGGCCTCTGCCCCGCTAATTACACGTCAGGGAAACGGCCCCCACGTATGCAGGAAGGTGTTCAGGACGGCATTGTTTACAACGGTGAGAAACTGGGAATGAGCTGAAGAGACACCGTGGGGAAAGTAACCAGGTAAAATACGACACATTTCCAGGGAACAACGTGCTAACTTAAAAAAAATTTTTTTTTTCTCTCTGCCCCTCCCCTGTTCATGCTCTGTCTCTGTCTCAAAAATAAATAAACATTAAAAAAAAAAAATTTTTTTTTTAATTTTTTTTTAACATTTACCTTTAAGAGAGAGAGACAGGGCATGAGCAAGGGAGGGGCAGAGAGAGAGGGAGACACAGAATCCGAAGCAGGCTCCAGGCTCCGAGCTGTCACCACAGAGCCCATTGTGGGGCTCAAACCCACGGACTGTGAGATCATGACCTGAGCCGAAGTTGGCCACCCAACCGACTGAGCCACCCAGGCGCCCCACAACATGCTAACTTTTAAAAAATGATGCTCGTGAAGGAATTCTAAATGGAAAATATAAAACACAAGATTGTCTGCAGAAATCAGAGCTCAGCTGGGTAAGAATGCATATGGCTTACTGAGCAAAGACTTAAGGGAGAAAAGATAGCGGGAATAAATATTGAGACATCTACTCAATACTGCCGTTGGCTTGGGGTTGAAGGGATTACACGTGAGCTTTTATTCTCTTCTTTAGGCTATTTTTTACAAACAAAAGCAGCTGAGGGGCCCCTGCGTGGCTGCGTTGAATGAGCGTCGTTGGACACTTGATTTCGGGTCAGGTCACGATCTCATGGTTTGTGAGATTGAGCCCCGCGTTGCAGAGCCTGCTTGGGATTCTCTCTCCCTCTCTGCCCCTCAACCCCGCCCCCTCCCCCCAATAAATAAATAAAACGTTAAAAACAAACAAAGCCGCTGAACGACTGCGTGCGGATTCTGACCCACTGCCCCGCGGCCGCTTGGGGGCACAGCGCGGATAGCACGCGGGGCCGTCACACCTCGGGAGCTGCTCTGAGCCCGACGACAGGCTGGGCCGCGTGCACCAGGCACGACACGGCTTGCACACTCCAGACCGGGCGGGGCAGGGCCGCCTCGGGCTCACGCGGTCAGGGAGCCACCCCGGGGGCTGTGAGTCCCGCACAGAGGCTGGTGCGAGGTCGCTGTCCCCCTCCGCCGCAGCTGGGGCCGGCAGAGCGCCCGCCGGGCCACGGGGAGGTGGGGCCGCCTTCCGGAACCCACCTTGGTGAAGAGCCGCCACCACTGCCAGTTCCGCAGCTTCAGGTAGGCGGCGCAGTTCCTCTGCAGGACCTTCATGGCCGTCAGCTGCTGTTGCCGCTTGGCGAAGGCCCTGGGTGGAGAGACGCGGTCAGGGCGGGGGACCGCAGACCTCCGGACGGGAGTGCAGCGAAGAGGCCCGGCGTTGGCGCTGAGTCCTGTGGGTGAACCCACAGAGGGCGACAAGGACCCCGACCGTCCTCCTTCACCAAGGGAGAAGTGGGTTCGAGGGGTGAAAGTCCCTCGCGAGCTAACTAGGTCCGAGTCAAGTGTGACGGCCGGTGGCTGAGGACATGTACTGACTTTAGCGTCCCACCCTCCTGCCACCTGCTACCGGGGGCTTCTGATTGGCAGGAAAATGTCAGCAGCTGACGTCCTACAAAGGGGGGCTCAAGGTGCCGACCGGGGGCTTCTGGATAAATGAAGGCTCCGTGGGTCCGATACCACAAACCCCTGTTTTGTCCCCCAGTGCTCACAGCTCACGTGGAATGTACGTCCCTCAGCACAGACCCGGTCAGGAGACTAACGTGCAGCTCCCACACCCGCTGTCCTGCAGCACGTAAGCCCGACTCTCAAAGGAGCTGCTCTGGACCCAAGGACAGTCTCCGGGCCCCGGGAGCACAGGGGACTCTGGGGACGACCAGGTTCCGGGCATCATCCCCACACGAGGAACTGGCAAACAGGACTGTTTGGGACAGGCAAATCCGAGCGCAGAGTCACCCCCTTCCCAGCCCGTCACCTAAACCCTTAGACATAAACTCAGAAGGCAGGGAGCAGGGAGCTCCACGTGGGCATCCCTTGGACCTCCGACTGGCATCAGGGCGTCCCAGGCCACCAGTTCCCAACAGTCCCCTGTGCGGCAGGAAGGCTGTGAAGGGCCCGCGCACAGGCAGGCTGGGCGGAGGCGGGCCCCTCTAAGGACTTACTTCCTGGCCAGGTAGCCTCTGCAGCAGGCCTGGAACCCGATGATGACGTCGGTGATCTTCAGGTCCCGCTCCTCCTCCAGGTGGGCCAGCACACCGGCCCGGAAGAAGACCTTACTCTGGCCGATGCGGTACAGGTTGCTGTCCAGCTCCAAGGCTTTGATCTAGACGGGAGCGGAGCAGGCCGTTCACCACGTGCCACCACGGGGCCCTCAGAGCAACGCGGAGAGCCAGTGGTCTGTCCCCGAGAGGCTGTCTGCCAGCGGCCGCTTCTCCGCTGGGCAGCCTGTGCGGCCCCGGAGCCAGAGAAGGCGGGCTCGGAGGATGCCGGGAGGAGGGGCAGGTGGCTTCCCACACAGGGCGCAGTGACGCATGAGACGGCAGAAAGACACAGAACCTGGACGTTAAAGGGACCTGAAGACCTCTCCTTCGACCTCCCGCCCCCGCACACCGCGATCACGGACTACCAATGCCCAGCCGCGCTGCCCTCAGAGAGAGCTGGCCGAGCGCCGTCAACCTCCTCACCCAGGACTAGGACACGCTCCAGTTCAGGCCAAGCCCGGCACCAAACGCTGATTAGGTGCCTGGGGCTTTGGCCTCTGGGAACCCACCCTCCCTCAGCTAGAAGATGGGAATAAGGCTTTGATTTTTTTTTTTTTTTTTTAAAAACAGTGAACAAAGAAAGCAAGTCATAGTGCCTCCTCCCCAGGACAGCTGCGGGAACTGAAAGGAGAGCAAAGTGCTCGGCCTGGGGCCACACGTCCTGGGTCAGGAGCAGATCTCAGCGGCCAGTGCCATCACCGAGCGGTTTCGGTGCGGCACAAGGCTCTCTCGTTAACCCACCGGCAAGGGGCCGCCTGTCTTCCTGGGAGAGGAGGGTTCTGCACTAGCTCTGAAAAGGCAGAGCCTGCAGTGGGCGGAGTCAGGTCCGAGAGAGCTTCGGGGCCCACAGACGCCCCGGTCATCCCGGAGGAAGGGGAGGCTGGGCCAGAGCCAGCGTGGGTATCTTCCCTCCCTGCACCTGAAGGAGGGGCCTTCAACCTGGACAGCCACTAACTGAGTCTCCTGGAGAAAGGGTGGCCCAGACGCCCTCCACCGATCACACCTTCTGTCCCACGGGGTGGGGCTGGTGAGCGCGGGACAGTGGGGAACGGTTTCCTCCCTCCTACCCCACCTCCCTATCATCTGACGCAGAGTCTCCCACACAGTCGGCGTTGGATTCCTTCTTCCCTCTTCTCTTTCTGCCAATGCCCTAGCCCATCCTCCCTCCTCTTTGGGAAGAATGCCCAGTAAAGGAGACCAAAGGCAGTGGCCGCTAACCCTGGACCATCAGGAACAACAGGACGCCCACAAAGTAGGAAGTACAACACAGTGGGATCGGGGCCCGGCTTGGCTGGCATCGCCACAGGCCGTCCTTCATCCCGGCAGAGTTCAGAGTGCCCAATGCACATCAGGCACTGCTCTAGGGGCCGAGAGGAAACGTCCGGAAGCACGGACTGCGCAGGTTGGGGCAGCTGCAGTGCTCGGGGCCTGCTCCCCTGGTGGGGAAGTGCCCTCTGCTGACCACACTGGGCGTGACGATCAGAGGAGATATGAGCAAGAAAGCGCGAGAATGTGCCCCAGAGGAAGGGAGAGCCCCTCCCACGTCAGAGCCCTGCCATGGCTGGAGCACCGGTGTCCCCTACACGGCCCTGGTCCCCCGCTCGGAGCGCCTGGCAGGATCAGGACCAGAGCAAGAGCAGGACCACGGAGCACAGGTGTCATCGGGTGAGAGGGGCACTTGTCCGGGCACACGGGCCCCCTCCCGCCCGAGGGCCCACCCCCAGAGGGAGGTGCAGGCGGCAGCCGTACTCACCATGAGCACACACGCCTGCTTCCCGTCCATGAAGCCCTTAGGAATGGAGTTTGGTGTCAGGATCTCGTATCTGAGCGAAAAAGAGGAGCCTGGTCAGCCATGCTTGCACCGGACCCTTGTTTGGATTCCACGTGGCCTGGGGCGCACGGAGAGGAGGACAGGCCCTACGGGGCAGCACAGCTAGGCTTCTCTCCCCCACAGTCTCCCGAGGAAGGAAGACATTTGGCAAATCCCACCCTGCTCTTTTCTTAGGCTGAACGGCACAGAAAGGCCGCCTGCGTGTTTTCCAGAAAGTGAATGGAAACTCACGTTGGACTGTTTCGGCCACTCGAGGGCGAGCTTTAGGTTGGGCTCCCCGATTGCTAACTGCCCACTGTCCGCATCTCTAACCCGGGAAGGCCGCGCTCCCTTTCTCCCCCAGGGTGCTGCAGGGCCTCTAACGCGTAGGATGGCCCCAGAAACAGGGCTGGCACTGAACGCAGTCGTGAGGCAGACAGGACGGTGTCATCAACGCCCCTCTCTGTGTGCACGGCCAGAGGCTGCAGCGCTCTGCAGTCTCCATTTTTCTACAAAGTTCCTCTAACACCCCAGTCTCCGGCTGATTCCTTTTGAATTTCTCTTCCTGGTTCCTCCAACAGCAGCAAAGCCTCCCAATCACTAGGAATAAAAATCCCTTCTCACACAGAGGGCGGCACAGAGAAGGAGCGGGAGCGGGCCGGACCTCAGCTCTCCGTGGACGGGGACACCGCTCCCTCGCCCAGGTGCCCTGCCCCCGGAGACACAGGCTCTCGGCCGAGGCTCACCGCTGCCGGAACTCCTGGAAGACCACCCTGTTGGGAAAGCCCTGGCGGCAGATGCGGATGCCTTCCAGAACCCCGTTGCAGCGCAGCTGATCCAGCACCAGGTGGGGGTCCAGTTTGCCAGCCTGGAGAAACAAATAACATGCATGTGGTCTCGCCCCCATGTGGAGGATTGATGGAGAAAGGCCGGGCAAGGCCCCCTCCGGACTCAACGGGAGAACAGCCCCCGGG